CTGAGGTCAAACACAACCCCGATGTGGTCCTTAATGAAATTGAGTTTGACACCCCTGTTCTATCAGAAGGAAAACCCACAATTCAATTCTATAGAAAATTTCAAAATATGTTGAAACTTAGTAACAGTGATGTAAGTATACATGACGGAATAAGGACTGTGAGTGTCCAGTTTCAGAAAATCAGTGGAATTTAGTCTGAAAAATAGTTAAAACACTTTTGTAGTACCTGTGTTAAGGAAAGATTTCCAAAATACCTTTTGAACTATTGCACCACTGGTTTGTTATCAGTGGTATGCAGATTTTAAGCTATGCATCTCTTAAGGAAGTTAGGAAGGTGGCCAAGGGACTCTAAAATCTTGGCAGGCTGAATTCAGAGCAAGTTATTCTATATCGGATCACTGTCTGATCTTATACCATTTCATAGGGAAATATTCCTGAGGACTAAAACATAATCTTTTTTTTTGACTTAAAAGCAGTTTGAGACTCAATTTGTAGAGTATTTTATGGAGAAAGATAACGGAATCCTGAACTGTCAGAAGGCAGTTTTTTTTTCTCATAATGCAATTATACTCTTAAGTCATTTTTTTTTGCAGATTTGATATAGTCCCAATAGTGCTTAGCTAATTCAATCCCCTGACACAACATGGAGGGAGAAAAGGTGTGTTTTGGCTTCAGCAGTGTTCAAATTTTATATGAATGGCTTAGCAGCCTCTTTGGAATCAGAATTTCTAAACTGGCTGAAATATGTGAGCCATAACCATGTATATATTAATGTAGCCATTGTGAAAAAAGCATTGTAGTTAAAAATCCAAATGTAATTACTGAGTTATATTTAAAAAATATGGAATTTGATGCTGGCAGACAATTCTGATCTTGTCAAGCCACAGGTTTGTCTAAGATGGACTGAAAACAATACTACAGATGTAAAAGAATGGATTCCGAAGATCTGTTCTTGGTCACTTGTTAAAAAATCTTCATAATGTAAAAATGAGAAGAGCAGTCAAAGACAAAGATTAAAAATAGTAACTAAAAAAATAAAATATGTAAAGAGAAGTTACGTACATTGTGCAAAATGAAGTGACAGTGACATTTCAGATAGTGGATGAATTATATTTTACCTTCTTTCTCAAAACTTCCCTGCATTTACTAAAATAAACACATGAGGGAGTATGCTATGCAAAAATTGTCTTCTTTTTTTTACTAGTTTACTATTTTAGAGAGGTGATTGTTGTTGTTATTAATATGCAGAGCACTCAAAAATATTCCCTCAGTGTCTGAACTTGCAGATTCAGAATTGTTGTTTAATGCATAAACTGCTACTTAATATATTGCAGCCACAATCACCTACTTTTAATTTCTGCGTTCAATGTATTCATTAAACTCTGCTTGACATTTTAAAAATTATTTTCTAAATAATAGACATACTGTTCCACAGAGAGTGATGGCAAATCTTTGTTTGTTTCTCTTTCAGGCATTATTAGAACAGCTCTGCCAAATATGAACAGGGAAAACAGAGAGCAATATCAGGTTGTTATCCAGGCAAAGGATATGGGGGGCCAGATGGGCGGATTATCAGGAACCACGATAGTGAACATTACCCTGACTGATGTCAACGACAATCCACCTCGATTCCCACAGAGTAAGCTTCCTTTAATTGTCCTTCTGTGCTACAAAAATATCAGAATGAAAGAATTAGACAACTACCATCTGGTTTAATATAAAATAAAAATCTAGTTTATGGAGCACATGCAAAATAGGCTTTATCCACAGATTTATTCACCGTTGTTAAAAAAAAAAATGTAATGAGATGCTACAGGGACAACTTGGTTAGAGAAAAATACAGTTGCAAAGAACAATTGCTTAATATTGGATAATTCTTAGCATAATGGTAACGGAATGATACTCTTTCTCCCTCCCTCCTCCACAAGAGGAATGGAAGAAATAACATTAGTATGTAAGGTTTGGAAGTGACCTTGGAAATTATTTAGTTCGACTAACTATACAATAACAGGAATCTACTGCTTCAGCATCTCTACCAGATGGCCATCCAGTTTATACTTCTTACAAAGAAGGGGCTGCCACCTCCCAAGCAGTCTTCCCTATTGTTAATCAACTCCTACTGTTAATTTTTTTCCCCCTGATGTCCAACTAAATTTGTAATTAAACCCATTGTTCTTTGTTTCCTTTCCCGGAACAATTCTGCCCCATCTTTTACATGACAACAGACCAGATAATTGAAGACATCTATTGTGTCTTATTGCTGTTTTCCCTTGTCAAACATATCCAAAACGTTCAGATGTTTCATATAAACTTGTGCTTTTCCTCCCCTTTATTGGTACTTTATATTATTAATTGATAATATATTAATTGTTTAATTAATTGTTCTCTTCTGAAAATACTGCATTTTGCTAGTTCCTTTCCAAAACGACTCTGTAATTAATGTTCTGGGTCAGGGCTGTCAAACTCGCGGCCCACGGGCCAGATGGATCATGCGCTAGCCACGCCCATGCCTGGTTTAGCGAAGGGGGGGCGAAGTCCTGATACGTCACGTGACACCACCGTGAGGATGCAAGTTTGACATCCCTGGTCTAGATACAGTCTAACCAAAGCAGAATATAGAAGAATGATTTCTTCTGAGCTTGACTCTATAATTAAAGTTTCAAGAGCATATCTTTGTTTGTTGATGTCTGGAAGTTAATATACAAATTTAAGCAACATAAACCAAAATAGGAATGCCTTTTGTAGCAAAACAAGGGTTTTTGAAAGATGACTACAATTCAGAGCTACAGATTGAGACAGGAAGTTCCCATCCATCAGACTGAAGTGATATAAAGAAATCTTCAAAAAGTCATCAACACAAGGCCAAATGTGCTTAGTTATAATACATTTTAGGCTAGTAGAGAACTTGTTATGCATTTCAATTTCCCAAAACAAAATTACTGAAAAAGTTTTGGAAAAAGCTAATCTTCATCTACTCTTGTCTATTTATTTCTCCTTACTCAGTTTGTAAAATCAAGCAGCAGGAGGAAGGATTCAAGAAGGTATTTGCAGATCCATTTCCAATATTTCTCAAAAGTAATTTTTGAATAACTAACAACAGCTCCTTTATCAAAGGAGACTTTTTGTAGCTGCTAATGCATTGCTGCATTATATTTTGAAAATAAATCAAGATAGAAGGGCACGTTTTAACAATGTTTTTTTTTAACAAAAATAAAACCATAGACTTGGGAAATGGCCAATCAGGTCCAATCCATCTTCAAGTTATTAATTCAGGCATCCCAGATGTATTCCATAGGTCTCTCAATCTTCTGTCATATTTTATTTACAACACACATGATTGTGACACATTCATGCAGTTGTAGCCTTATCATGTGATGATACACATGATAAGGCTACAACTGCATGAATGTGTCACAATTATGATGTTTTGATCCCCTCCCACTCATGGATGCCCCCTGCCAGATAGATGGCAGTCTAGCCTCCACTTGAATATTTCCAGTACTATCATGGGTAGTAGTACTGCCACTTATTTTTAGTTACAATAAATTAAAAAAAAATTATTGCAGTACTTGGACTTGATTTACATTTATTTATTTTATCTGAAGCTTATGACTTTGAGCCATGAGAATTGGGCAGTCATCCTCCAGACCTTCTGGTGATCCTTTTCCTCTGTAGTGATGATGTGAGCAATGTACTGCTCTGTATTCCTTCTCTTTGTTTGCTCATAGTAGGTATGGCTGGAAAAGTCTTGCATAGCTTCCTTGCCATTCACTGATTAATTCATTACCAATTCATGGTAATAAAGGGGGGTTAATTTCTTGTATAATCTCAGAAAGCTGGTCAGTTCTGTATTTTGTGATCTCAGGATGCTGCTGGAAGTTGGAACTGCAGACATATATCTTCTATTTGTTTGAATTCCCTTCTCTACCTTTACTACAACATTTATCTATATATGGGTCTTCAGTCATAACAAGACTGGGTTTGGTTAGTCCAGGGAACAATTAGCCTGTAAACTAGACTGGGAAATGGAAAAATATTATCGAAAAGGGCAGTGGCGAATCACTCCTCTAATGTTGCAGCGTAAACGTGTGTCAAATCAGGCTTGATTTGAGGGAATATTTACTTTTGTCTTATAGTTATATATGAACTTGGTAAGATAAACTCCCTTTTTGCTATAAGGCATTTTTCTAAAATTAAATATTCTTCCTCCCCAGTTCCCCCGACACTCTCTTTATTAATGAGGCTTATATCATGTTAAAAGAAAGTGAACGAATGAGCTTGTGAAAGGAGTTGATTCATGTAACTGCTAAAGGCCTTATTGATTCCTTCTTAAAAGAGAATCAATAATATTCATGTCAAATGTGAAACTGTACACTTAACGGATCTTATCTCTTGTCTGATTTGCTGACTTGATTATGGATCAGGAGGACTTCTGAAATTGGAAGACCTTATACACTTTATTATCAGATTAGGGTTGCACTAGTATTAATGACAAAGAACTAATCACACCTTTCTGAAGCCTTGTGAAAACATGAGATCAGTGATAAGATTTCTGATTCAAAAAACAAGTCAGGTATTTTTTATTATTAATTTTTTTTGCTGGAGACATTTCCAGCACAAAAAAATTAAAATGTAATTTTTTTTTTACAAACCCTTCCTCCCTTTCTTTTCTTTTTAACCTCACAACAACTCCATGAGATGTGCCAGAAAAGCACAATTTCATGGAAAATCTATTGTGTGCTTAAGTCTCCTTAGTTATATAGATAGATTTACTTAAGTGCTCTAATTTTTTTTTGTTTACTATAGAATTCCAGTAACCGTAGAATTTAGGTTGAACATCCCCTCCTTTCTAAAGCATTTTGATATTAATTTTATAATCCTTCCGCAATTTGATACCTTCTAGAAGTGCTGGATACCAACCTTCATCATTCCTAATCAAGATAGATCTAGTAAGAGAAGGTTGTTAATTTACAGAAAATAATGGGATAGCCACTGCATGATATAAATATGATGTAAACGCCTCTGCTTTCATAGCTCCATTCTCCTTCTGCCACGTGGAGGGGATAATATTTTAAATATTTTCCTACAGAGTCAGAAATATTCCCAGAATTGTCAGTAGGATGGGAGCTTCCTGAAGAGCAACTTAAGTTGACTGTAACTGGAATTGGCAGCCCATCAGATTTCCCAGTGGGGGTATCATCTTCCCACCTTATAGTGCTATTTGAATGTGTAATATCCTATTACCAGCAACAGGAAGCATTATATATGAAAAAGGTTTCTTACTGGCTGCTAGCTGGGATTCAATGCCATCTATGCTGTAATATCAGGAATAAAACAGACTTCCTTGCAGTTTTAAGCTAATTGATATTTTCCATGTCTGAAGAAATTAATCTTAGATCATGAAAATAGGGGTGTGAATCTTTAAGACAAGGTTAGGTAGCGTTTTTCAGCAAAAAAACACTCAGTGTCAGAGAAATGTATTTAATGTAGGTACACACACACAAACACACACACACACACACAACTTTTTTTCTAACACTAGGAGCTTTCCCAGAAAAAAAGCAGCAAGAGTAGCTGTTTAAATTATGCAGAATAATAAATAATTTACAGAAAAAAATATTTACAGAATCTATCTATCATCTGTCTGTCTGTCTGTCTGTCTGTCTGTCTGTCTGTCTGTCTGTCTATCTATCTATCTATCTATCTATCTATCTATCTATCTATCTATCTATCTATCTATCTATCTATCTATCTATCTATCTATCTATCTATCTCTATATCTATCTATTAATTCATGGCATATAAGTGATGCATGAACAGGGTCTGAGATGCTACACATTCTCTTCATGACTTGTTTTCTTGTTATCTTTTGGGAAGAGGATTCAGGGTATCCAAAGCAGAACATCTAGATTCAGTCACATTTTTTCCATATCATATCAATCTTGTAAACTTTCAATTTTCCAATGGTATTTTTTTTTTAGAAAGAGAGATGCTGAAAAATTGCCTGAAAACAGCAGAATTGAATGTAGTGTTGATATTGACCAGATTTCTTTACTCCCTTGTGTCAAATCTGCTTGAAATGAGTTTGGTTTTAATTATACCCCTTACTACTACAGTTCGTGACTCTTCCAATGGGAAAGATATAAATTCAATCCAAAGAGATTTCTTATGAGACAGGAAATAATAAAGCACGTTTTTCCCCCTTCCTAGACAGTCATGGGTTGGTGCATAAGCCTCTTGGTTTTGGCACAGGAAATGGCACTCTGTGTCTTTATCAAAATCCTTTTATAAGTGTGATTGCATTCTTCTCTCTTGAAATAGAAGCAAGGATGAGTAGTTTCCTTGGAGTTTCACCAGGGGATTATGGTGGTTCCATTGACTGTGTGGGTGAGAGAGAGGTTAACATAGAAGCAGGAGGAAAACTGGCTTTGGTAACTTTCAAACACTGCCAGCTTCAACCCTCACAAATTACAAATACTTTTGAAAACCAGCAGGAGCAGTTTCCTCTTCTCTATTCTGGATTTCTTTTGAAAATCACAAAACGAAGCCTATTCACTTCAAGTGAGCTGCGAAGAGCTGTGCAATTTGGCAACGCTATAGAAACTGCTAGACTTATAAAAATGATTGATTGTGATTTTTATATTATTTCCAGGCTTCCAGAGCTTTTTAGCTCCTGGAGGCAAAGTGCAAATAAAGAATAATAATGGTAATTTATAACTTACCTCAAAAATCTAGGTGCCCTGCTTGTTTATGGTCTAATGAGGCACAAACAAGGAAGAGGGGAATAAAATACAAAGAAAAGAGTGTTAGAAATTTTTTCTCACGCACATAGTTCTCTCTGTATTTCTCTTCTGACCTACCCTCAGTATCTTACAAATTTATTTTAAGCCGCTGAACTATTTTTTTTTTTAAATAACTATAACAACAAAATCCTTTGCCGTTCATGTCTTGCCTGGAAACTAAACATTAGTGGAGTGCATAATTTTTCAGCAAATTGGCTTCTACTGGAATAATGGTTTTCCTTTTTCAAAATAAACATTTTCACCAGATTTACACTCACTTGAGGCTATTGCTCAAGAAATACAGATGGAGATGTTACTGTTCGGTTTGCCTGTGCCAGGAGAGACAGAAGCCCACACAGAGAAACTTGGCTTTTTTTGCACAACACATGCTACACAAGAGAAACCATCAAATACCACAAATTGAGGCATGACTCCATCAAAAACAAGTCCAGTACAAATTGTGCTGTAATGAAAGAGAAATGCCCAAGAGCATTTTTTTTTATTCTGCAGACCCTATTAGTTTCCCTGAATTCCTACAAACTCTTGCAGTGATGTTTTCAGTATCAGGGATTGGAATGCAGCTCCTTCTTCACCTCATCCTCTTACTGCAAGCATTTAAGTACTTCAAGAAACTGTGGGGATGTTGGAAAAGAGACTCACAAAATTCAGATCAAATCACCTCCTGCAAAAATTGGTGGAACTTGCAAAATGATTGAAATACTTGAATTTGATTTTAATATTTTACTTAAAAGTAATTAGCTGAAGCTTACGAGAACTGAATTTAAGTGCCAGAATAGGTTATGGCAAATGGTAAGGGTAGGCGGTAATTCAAGCCAATGCCTGCTTGAATTATGGTTACTCAAAACTGATTAGGATGCTGCTTATTTTTGTAATTACAATGCACCGCCCCAGACACATCTTGGGAAAAATTATTGAAGTTGATTTACTTTTTCCAGTCAAAACACAGTTAAAACTATACAGTCTCTTACAAGGTGGGTGTACCAAACAGTCTTCAAAGTGAACCTTAAGAATTCTACCATTATCTATTTGTACACACACACACACACACACACACACACACACACACACACACACACACAC